TTCAGATTGAAATTTTTACGAGCTGGTTTATGAAGAGTGTAGAGGTTTGTTCGTTCAGAAATCGCTTTACTTCTTCAATTGGCTTTTTAGTTTTTCTTTGTAGTTCATTGATTCCACAAAATCCAGTTTCAGGGTTGTAATATGCATCGTCTAGTTTGATTTCCGATTTTTTAGTTTCTTTGGTAGAGGGTTTGATGGATTTTAAAGTACCTCCACTTTTTGAATTGGGAATTATTTTGCATTTTTTCGTTTTGCATACTACACATTTTCCTCTCAACAACTGCTTGTTGTTAATGCTCAAAATCTGAGATATGTCGGTAGTATCTGTACTGATCCGACATTTGAAACAATACATTTATAAACAAAAAATTTGCTGAAGAATATGTGAGATTGAAATTGGTGTTAAGAATTGAATTCTCAAAGCGCCAGCGGAGCGCTAAAGGGGCGATGACCAGCGGAGGGTTGATGGAGGACCCCAGGCGGTTTCGGGAAAATGGGTGGAAAAAGAGAGTTATTTTAAAATGACAGTTTTGATTGATTAATGGTATTATCCTTAGAGATTGATATGAAATTTTGACAAAAGTGGTATTAATTAGAGGCGGTCTAAATTTTTCAAAATTTTTTTGTTTGTTTATTGAAAAAACAGTTGAGGATTCTAAACACATCGATGGCATTCGATGACAAACTGCTGAAAACATATGTTATTGGCACAATACGTGCATTTGACCATTGACAATCTTTTGCACCCAGATAATTGACACTTTCCATAAACTTTCCGGTCGAAGCAATATTGAATTGTTCTGTCACATTTCGGAGCGCAACTGTCCACATAACAGCTAGAATACCAGGCATACTGTCTCCATTCTCGGAAGATGGGAGAGCACATCTGCCAATATGCTTGGCTCAGCGTCTGCAATCAAAAAATGAGGGACGTTTTCAGAAACTTTGATGATATTAGGTTGGCGGGAAAGTCTTTGTCACTCTGTTTGTTTAATCACTGTTCTCGTATATGGAGGCGTGTATGATATCGACTCTAGTGAATAACAAGGTGATAAGAACCTTCCATATAAACAAGTCCCCATTTCCTTCCCTGCTCCTCATCTGTAATTGAAACGATATGTTTGTTCCCACTGCTATTCACATCAGACATGTTTTGATTTACCTCTTCCTATCTCACACCACGATGAAGGATTCGGAAACTTTCTTGAAGAATGTGTACAACACACATGCCCCTCACTACAATACTATTCGCAATTGGTTCCATCGTTTCGAAAAAGATGACTTCTCGCTCGATGAAAAGGATCGCTCTGGGAGACCCCGTGAGTTGGATTTGGACAAGCTGAAGCACGCATTGCAATCGGATCCATTTCAATCTAGCCGTGAACTAGCTGTCACATTCGGAGTTCACCATAGCACAGTCCTTGAAGGTTTGAAGTCTCTTGGAATGAGAAAACTTTTTGGTCGATTCATACCTCATCACCTGACTCAAGCCAACCTTGACCGCCGAGTCGACGATTCGATTACTCTTCTCACTCTCCACGCGGGCGATCGATGGCTGGACCGGCTAATAACCGGAGATGAGAAGTGGGTCTTCTACGATAATCACCACAGGAAATCCCAGTGGGTTGGAGAAGGAGAGAGCCCACAGGATGTCCCCAAACCCGGCCTTCATCCGAAAAAAGTTATGCTCTCTGTGTGGTGGGGAGTGGACGGCCCCATCTACTGGGAACTTCTGCCCGAGGGCAAAAAAATAACTGGAGACCTCTACACTACTCAACTACGAAACCTCAAGAAAGCAGTCGACCGTTCGGCCCTGAAAGACAAGAAAGTGTACTATCAACATGATAACGCTCGCCCACATGTTTCGAAACAAGTGAAGCAGGAGCTGATGGGATATGGATGGAATGTTCTCCCTCACCCCCCGTATTCTCCTGATCTTGCTCCTTCCGACTATTGGTTATTTGGCGATATGACACGTGCCTTCGAAGGAAGAAGCTTCAATTCCCGTGGAGCGGTCGAAGCGGCACTCAAACAATACTTTGCCTCACGCCCGGCTGGATTCTACCGCAATGGAATCCATAAATTGAGGGAACGTTGGAGACATGTTGTTGATAATGATGGACAATATAATTAATTATTCGGTTATTTTTTCTTTGAGAAATAAACTATTGAAAAAGTGACAAAGACTTTCCCGCCAACCTAATAGAATCTTGTTGATGTGGCTTAAAGACCTTCTCTTTTCTTTGCGCATATTCTGGAAAATGCCTAATCATAACGAGAAACTCGAGAAAAACATGTTTAACTAGCGTAAATTTTATTCCAGAGCCAGTTACGGCAGCTTAAAATAAAACAAAAAAAATTTTGAAAAATTTTTGGGAGGGGGAGAATCAAACCTACAACCTCCCTCCTCTGAACTTGCCATTTTACCACTTTACCACACAGCTGATTGAAATCTATTGTTTTAAAAGAAATACACTATTCCGTGAAAAAAATTTCACGAGAAATTGCTTAATCATAGGGAAACTTTTCTAGGTCATAACTCAGCTCACATGAGCATTTTGCTGATTTTTTTAACAGATTTGGAATCCTCATAAGCTCTTCTATCTGCTCCCAAAATTTCAAAAAAAAGTTAAACCCGCCCCCTCAAGTAACTCCCTTGTGATACGAATTATATGTAGATTCAAAATGTATTGCTCGCAAGAATAGAACGACAAGTATGACGAAATTTTTCATGGAAAACAACCCTACCCCACAGTTAGATTACCCCTTGGAATTACTTTCAAGCTTTTAAAGGGGGACTCCGGTCATTTTTTTGTTGCATCAAAATGTGTTAAAATTTATCTATTTTCAGAATATTATTGCGAAAAAATTCGAAAAAAAACCGAAATCCCTATAAACGCCGTTGAAAAGGAAAAAAATTCAAAAAAAGGTGCCGCCGAGGGACGAGGATTTTCAGTGAGACCCCTAGGCCACGCGAGCGGCGCGACTTTCTTACCGTACAAATTTTCCGGATTTTTCTTGCTTTTATCTCCGACAGGTAAAAAACATTAAAAAACACTGTCGGCCACTTGAAAATAATGCTGTCAGGTGCTGTGGCCTAGGTTTCTCACTGCGCGGGAATTCAAATCCTCGTCCCCCGGCGGCACCTTTTTGAAGTTTTTTTCATTTTCAACGGCGTTTTTCGGGGATTTCGGATTTCTTTTGAATTTTTTCGCAATAATATTAGGAAAATAGATATATTTTAACACATTTTAATGCAATAAAAATTTTTGGTCGGAGTCCCCCTTTAATTATTTCGTGCCATCCCAAGGATGTTCGGAAAGGAATTCGGAATTTTCCCGAAGCATTTTTTTCTCGGCACTATGGCATAGGAAACATGTCAAGAAAAATTTCTTTGCGGGGCTCGAACGGAATCAATTTTGAAATTTTTTGCGCTGGCGAAATCTTTGTGATGGTAAAATAGAATTTCCTCTTTAAAATTCAAATTTTGAAAAATTCTTTTTGAATTTTAAAATCCTGGAATCTCAACATTTCATAAATTCGGAATTTTGGAATTTATAATTGCAGAATGAAATGTTTGAATTTTCCAAAACACTGAATTTCAGAATTCATAAATTCTTTTTTTCTTTCTGAATTTTGGAATAATTTCTGAATTTTGGAATAAATTTTTTAAAAAGTAAAACCATTGAAAAATAGAAGCCCACCTTTAATAGAAGCCCAGCCTGAGAAAGAGGTTGAAAAATAGAAGCCCATGGGCTTCAATTAGGGGTAATACGGTATTGTACAGGAACCGAGAAAAAAGTCTCAAAGTTAAAAGTAAGGGGCCCTTTTATTACAGGTTTTACAGTATTAGCAGCTATGAAACAGTTCCCCATATTGAAACTTCGAGAAAGGGAAATATATAATAGAATTCCAAAATAATTTTCGGGAATTCTAAAAAGATCAGAAATTCAGGAATTTTTGAACCAGAAATTCAAATGAAGTCTATAAAACTGTAGAAATTCTACAACTTCAGAAAAAAATCCATCACCCTTTATCGAATTTTTGAAAAAGAAAAATAATTCTCGAATTTTCACGTAATAATAATGAGAAGTTATTTATAAATCAAAAACAACATAAACTTTTGTCGATAGAACAGCGCACTGGTTTACACTCCGGTGTGTCAAGCGAACTACCCGAGTTCGATCCTCGCTCGAGGCATCGGATTTTTGAAAAGTGCACTTAAGTGCGAGAAACGGAGGAAATCGCCCAAAAACCCCTTGCATCCTGGTGTAGAAATACGAGCGCGCCTTTCTGTTATTCAGGTGTAAGATAGATGTACTTATAATGACGAAACAGAAATTTCGCCTCCAATATCTTCATTGTTTCCTGACGTTGAAGTGTCATTCCTACCGTAAAACCTGTAATAGAAAGGCACCCAAACTTCTAACTTTGAGCCAATCTTTTTAGTTCCTATGAAAGATATCAAAAAGTTGTCAACAGACGAATTGTTTATCAAAATATTACAAACATTATATTCGTTGACACATTTTTGATATCTCTCAGAGGAACCGAGATAGAAATTTAAAGTGTAGGGACCCTTCTATTACAGGTTCCACGGTATCTTGGAAAATGGAGACACGAAAATTGTTAACTGCAAAAAGAAAGATATATTTTTGACTAGCATTTGCTAAAACTTTTATATCAGTCGGAATATGTTAAGTAACTTCTGGAGACCTTCAAAGTTCTAATCGAACATCTAAACGATTATAAATTTAGAAGCTTTTCCCGTAGTTCTTCCTAGAGAACACATCAAATTTCAAACTAACTGGACGTCTAGACTTTACTTTTGTGGGAGTTCGTGTTTTAAGATGTTCCTATAAAATTCGTTCATTCTCCCATACACCTAAACGTTTTATTTCTCGAACCCAATTCCTATTCACTCGTTTTCCTTCCATTCTGGTTGGTCTGAGGGCATAAACTGAAATTCGAAAAGGAAAAATGAGAACCTGTCCGAATTATGTGTTTACGAGTTGGCCTTGACGAAAACCGAAGAGACGAAACATCGCCAGAATTCGTCTCTGGATTATGTGCCGTGTTCTTCTGAAATGTACGTTCTCTCCCCAGAAAAAAACTGATGGAACCAAACCATCCGATGCTGTTTATATGTATTTATTTGTCAACATTGAATTTCTTCAAAAACACACACCTGTACTTTGACCACTACAGTAACCCATTCAAGGTAAGTACAAAAGAAGGATCGGGAGAATCAGAAAGACATTCAAACACTTTTCTAAATAAATCCGGTGATTTGACCATAGACCACGCCCACTTTCACTAGTTTGACCTTGTTAAAAAGCGATGACTGTCGAACACTTTCTGATAACAACAAACACTTTCTACACGGTTTTCTTTTTCCTATTTTTTGGTTTGGATCCGGTCTATCACTATCTTTTCTCGGAAGAATGAAGGTGCGTTTGTGATCTCGTATGTTGCAAGATTGGTTGGGAGGTTATTTTTGTCTGGACTTGGTTTTAGCTGTTTAGTTTCATATCTTCATTCCAGCTCATATCTGCTACCGTAGTCCTTTCTTCTTTTCTTCTAACTTCATGCACCTTGGAGCATGCTCTCGAAGATGACATATCAGATTCTTTTGCCCCTGTTATCAAAGGAAATGGAGATGTGATTATTCTGAATCTTTCGAATATTGATCATACTAATGGAGCTGAAATTCCTCGAAATTTGACCGAAGAGGATACCAAAATTATTCCAACCAACATTGATTTCGCTGCACTGAAGTAAATTCCAGATCTAGACAAGAAATCGAAGATAAATGTGTTTCAGAGAAGCGTATGCGAAGGAAAATAAAGCTGAACGATTTCTGCCATCCCGTCTGTTTTTTAAAGACGAAAAGAAGAAAAAGTGATTTCCCATGCAATTTTATTGGAGCAGCTCATCAGCAATCAGTCGATAAATAAAATAAATTAACACATTTAACAGATAACCATGAATAAACTTGTGATGATGAGATTTAAATTTTCTTTGCATTATCCCGAACTGTAGCAATAAGATCTGTCTTAGTTTGGCTTTTTGTGATAGCAATTCCATTGATACCATTGACGCAATCCATATGCACTTTATGGCTTGTCATCCCTTGGATGTACTTGCTGAAATAGGAGAATTTGCAAATGAAAAACTGATAAAACCCACATAGCCACTTTTTCATCAATTGTGGATGCGAAACTTATTGGAGCATGAAGATGATGAAGAATGTTTGAGATCGCAAAATTCCAGTACGGCAAGAAACCTTCCTGAAAAGAAATGTTCAAATTCAGAGAACTTTTTTATTAAAATCATTACATTAATGAGTTTTGTCGGGCAAAGATCAACTTTCTCCACCCACTCCAAAAATGCTTGTCTGACCAGATTATAAGCGACCATTCGGCTCCCCAAACGACATGCCACGTGCCCAACCTGAATGATATCCTTTAATGAAGAAACTAATCGAATCATGTTAATTTACTGATTCGTAGGGCGTAATTTCCTGGGGGAGAGTGGTGTTGAGGTCATCCTGAAGGCGACAGACTGCCGCCTGAGATGCACCACTTAGATTTTTGTATCCTGGAGTCATTCCAATGAAGTGAGGTGGATCGATACGATAGTGCGGGAAACGAATGGAAAGTTCTTCCAACCAGTTGGCAAACTCTTTTCTCTCCATTTCAAACTTGTGATCATCATGACGAAACTCGCCGGGCTTCATTCCGAATACCGCATTGTATTCGTGATTTGGAGTAGAGAAGATGAAAATTCGTGGCAAAAGAATCCCCAACACATTGTTCACAAATTTCTTGGCATCAGCGAGTGGAATGTGTTCGACTCTGAAATACGGAAGTTGGGAAACGTCTCTTTTAGCTGTTTTTGCCGCGTACACTTCCAAAGAAACGATAGCATCAAGGTCTGCAAAACGATGGTCTGGTTCAAGAATATCACCGAGATATGATCGCATTAGCACCGGAAGCCCAGTCTCACAGGAGAGAATGTCTCCGTGTTGAGTCAAATGCTTCCTGAAATAAAAACTTGATTTTCGATTTCAAAAGAAAAAAAAACTCACTGAAGCAGTTGTTGGCCAACTGAAAGAGAATCTTGATCAATATCAACAGAAAGCACATTAATCGTTCCAAAAACACCGAAAAACTCTGACAGACCTCTCTCCAACGACATTTCTCCGCAACCCATGATACCAAGTCTGTTGATATCCATTTGGGTTGATCTTTTGAAATCCATCAACGTGTTTTTGACAAAAGAGTTTCTTTGAACTTGAAGAGGTGGTTGAAAATAATTTTTTCTCAATTCATGATCATCAATATCCGACTCGTCTGTGGTACCGAATCCATAAATCGCATCTTTCCATTCCGCATCTCCGCTGTTGCCCTTTTTCTTTTGTCTTGGATTCTGTTGATTTTTGAACTTCGGCCGAAATTCTTCTAAGTTTGCCAATGGGAGAACACGATCCAGTGGTTCCAAAAGAGCGATTTCCAGTTGATCGTATGCATTCACATAGGTTTGCTGAAATTCGATTTATAGATTACTAAGCTATTTATGTTGCATGTACATCGTCATATGGAGATCCCCATCCATCGCCAACGTCTGTCATATCCACTCTGCAATTCTCTATTTCTTCTTTTTCAATCTGTTTCTGAAAAAAGTAGTTATTCTAGAATTCAACAGGAACACATTAATAAATGTTTCAAGAGCAATATATTCATTCTGCATTCAAAACTTGCCAAAAAAGGTTAACAATTCATCATGAGAGAGTGTTTGAAAAAGTATTCGTACGGTTATTCTTTTCAGACATTTTCGCGAACGGAGATTCGGTCCGCGGTCGCGGGGAGCCGTGGACTAGTTTCCCGAATGCATGTCGGGGAAAAAACATCGTGTATTTACATAGAAAGCAGACATGACTACAGAGAGTGCTTTTATTAAATCAGAAAAGTCGAATCGGTGAACCAGTAACTACAGTAGCGGTAGAGAAGTACAAAGAAAGAGAGAAATTTTTGGACAGTCGTTGGGAAACTAAGGTTAGTGTGGAAAAAAAACGAAATGAATAAAAATTTAATGATTAATCGTCTCAGTGCCTCAGCCCGGTGAGCGCACAGTGCTCTGTTCGGGAAGAATGTATGATGTTTCGAATTTCAGACTTCGTCAGCTGCTCCGTTAATTTGCACCAGTTTTCTGTAGATAGCGTAGAACAGGGCACATAGATGTAGTCATAAGATGACACAGCACCGGCATATCCCTGAAATTACTAGAATCTTTAAAAATATTTATTTAGTCATCTGAAACTAGGAAATCTCTTGTCAGTCTACATTCACACAGTATTGTTAGATAAGTGTGCCAACCAGTCACACCATGCCATCGATTTCGCTACATACCTTTTGAGACCGGGTGTGCCTGATTGATCAAAAATTGAAAGAAGAAGTGCGAGTTGAAATTGTTTGAGTGAAGAGATAAATAATACAGATAACATAGAACAAAATGTACGCGGGGATACATTCTACAATAACATACCGCCGCGGTTGACAACTGGATCGACTGGTGGAGTGACGGGTGCAAAATAGGCGTGGATCTCGATGTTCGCACGTTGATGCTGAAAAAACTATAATGTTTGTTAAATGGATTTAGTTGCTTGTTAATCCCTACCTGGAATCGGACAATCGCTTCTTTCGAAACATTTTGACAATCGTACAAGTCAATTCGTTTCAATGCACGACAGTGGCGGAGGTTGGACAGAGTGGCATCTGTCAGCTGAGGGCAATTGTCAAGTTCCAGAACATTCAGAGTATCTCGGTGTTTTGTGGCAAGATTCTGGATAGACTCGTCGGTGATAAGCTCACAGTGCGACAGACTAAGCTCGTGAAGAGCATCACATTTATTGGCAAGTGAATTGATAGTAATGTCCGAAACAAGGGAACAGTCTTCAATGTCGAGACGCTCCAAATGTTTGCAACCTTTGGCTAGTTGAATAAATCCATTGTCACCCAATAAAATACATCCGGAAAGTTCAAGGGCTTTGAGATGTTCAGAGTTTACTCCTAGAGCTATCAAAGATCTATCAGTGATTTGATTGCAGTTGGACAAGCACAAATATTCAATGAGTTTTGCTCCGTTTGCAATGTTTCGAACTGTAGTATCGGTTACTTGCTGAAAAGATGAAAACTGTTAATGAGCTTCTGAATCGTCATCTTACAAAGCACTGTAACATATTCAGCTTCTTCAGAGAACTCATTTGTGTCTCCACTGGTCCAAACACATTCTCAGTTAGTCCTTCACATCCACGAAGAATCAAAGTATCCAAGGACACACAGCTGGTGATAATAACTTGGACTCCACGATCTTGAACAGCATCACACCAAGAAATATTGAGATATGTCAAACTAGGACATCCATCTCTGAAAACATTAGTTTGTCTGTATCAATCGTGATTTTATTCATTTACCCAATGTATCTCAATGCTCTGTCTGTAATGGAGGAACAGTTCTCCAGGTTCAAGTACTTCAATTTATGACAGTATCTTCCCAGGTTCTCACAAGATGCATCAGTAACACGTTTACATCTATACAAGCTGAGATGCTCGAGATTCGGGCATCTCGAGGTGAATGTACGTAATGCTGAATCATGAACATTTTCACATCCTTTTAACGAGAGTTCCTTCAAAAATCCTCCACAACGACGAGCCAAGTTCTCGACTACAGAGGTTTTGACATCTCTTTGGAACGTGAACAAATCAACTCGTTGCCAATTCGACCCGTCTAGAGCCAACACGTTCCATGAACGACAAACCTGAGCAGATCGACAGAGTGCTTTAGTATCAAGGAAAGAGAAAACTCTGAAACGCGGGAAATGTGATTCATAAAAGGCTAGATGACGGCTTACTTGAGAAGAACTTCTTTAGGCAATACACGATTGATAAGAGAATTATCCACTTGTACTTGTGATCGCGATGTAATCAAGTACATCTGGAAATATCTAACATTTCCAGGAACTCACTAAGATTCTCTGTGTTACCTGGTTTTGTTTTGCTTGAATCACAGGATGTGTCTTGTGAGCTTGTTGAGCTAGTCGTTTGGCGCGCCTAGAATTCGCTGCTGCTGCAGCACTTCTTCGTTCAGCCGTCTCCATGGATTCGAACACAATACGAGGCTAAGGATGTTGAGAGAAGAAGAAGGGGATAGGCAATCAAAAACACATTGACCGCGTCGTTGTTGGGAGGTGTAGGTGGATTTCTGAATGACAACGAATTTAAAAAAAGAAGAGGTAGTAGGAGATGAGAGAGAAAAAAGTAAAGTCAAGAAGAAAGGAAAGTTGTGATGTCTTTTTAACCGTATTTTTGGATCTATACTGGGATCTGAATACAACTTCAAAATGGTGTTGTCAAAGTTCTAAGCATTCAGAGAATTTCCGTAAAGTTGGATATGAGGAATTTAAACGCAAAATAAGTGGACAAGTCTCTAGGAGCGAAACTTGAAGAATGAAGTGAAGGCGCCACCTGGCGACCACATCTTACCAAATGGCCTCTCAGTTTTCTTATTCTTCTTATCCCGCCTTTTCTTTGTCATCTACCCGCCATCTATCTTTTTCAGTATCCGTAGTCCTTGGCTTGTACTTCCATGAAGAAGTGATGCTGCTGATGTGAGAGGCACTAGGGAGACATCAGAGGAGCTGCGCACGCTCCTCCATGTGGACAAAAAAACGGAGTCGTTAGGAACACAACGATTTGCGAATTAATGCATACTTAACCAGGTGGTGGATGAATATCGGTGCCAAGGACGCATGAAGAAAAAGGACCTAGATTATAAAAGAGAGGAATTTTATGAGATCTAGATGTTCCGAATTTTAGAAAAGGGACGAATGAGAGGAAGTTTGTAACCACGCACTAGCTTTGGACATTCTGAGAAAATTAAGGCTAGCAAGCTCAGAATGTCGTTTTTGACGAAAGGCTAATAAATGTGCGCCTCGAGGGACACCCAGACATCCCATGCAGTACCAGTCGGCACGAGGGCCCAAAGTGCATGGCTATAAAAAAAACAACTCATTCCATCAGCCAACTTTCTTTTTCTTTTCTTCGCATTCGCTGATGGATTGCTAGCCGAGATGAGAGGGAAACATGGAACCATGGAGTAACATATTACTTTTCATGAAATAAAATATAGAAGTGGTGCTGATGCCATGAAGCAGAAGAAAACTAGAGTGGGTTGTTTATTTGTGCACACACTTTTTTCCCATTCTTTACATGTTGTTGTGGTCTTCCTAACTGTCTGTGCAAAAGAACAGAGAGGGAAAACAAAAATAAGCATAATCTGGTTTCCGTAGAAGACTCAGGGACAGTATTAGTACTAGTCCTTCACAACTAGAGCGGTAGTTCTATTTGAAATTCAGGTTCAGAACTCTTGATAAATTTCTGAAAAATGAGTTCTGAATTTCTATTCTGTTGTTTTTATAAATACTATATTGGGAACGATCAAACGTTATGATTTTTAGTCACTCGATTCTAGTTTGACCTTGTGCAAAGTTTATTGAGAACTTCGTAAAAACAGTATCTACAGTAATCTTCGTCTCATTCAAATAAACCCATTCGCATCTCATTCTACTGAGTAATCCCGATAAGCCAATGAATGGGATGAGGATCTCAGGCAGTGCCCCATTCTACAAAATGGGAATTGGAATGGGAAATGGAAACGCCTATCAAATGAATCTTGATGTGGTCTTCCTATTTTCCACACGGTGAGGTAACGATTCGGACGAAAATCAGCTGACATATAACACACCGACTGGACGCGGGGCACTCTTTTTTCACGAGATACGACGAACACGCTGAGACGCAGGCTCGATCGGTGGGGCTGACCCGAATCACGAGACGTTTCGTCCCTGCGTATCTCTTGTTTTGCATTTATTTCCAACACTATTTCGTAGCTCATGTTTTGCGCCCGATGGCCAGTGGACGCCTCGTCTTCTTGTCTGTCGGGCGCTCGCACGAGAAGCGAATGCGCCCAGAGCAGTGAGCGAAGTGAGTGAGTGAGTGAATGTCTCATCTGATGGCTGGAGGTTTTTCAAGGCATGAACTCTCAACACACGCAGTTTCTTCGCATTGAGCTAGAATGCCTGCTCACTGAATAACATTTTATGATCAAGTTCATAGTGAAGCGAACAAATCAAAGATCTGGGATTTAGCAGAGAAAAGTTTTAGAAATGAATTACAGGTTTTTTGATGCGGTAGGAATCCAGCACTCACCTACACAACAGCTTTCAATCCTCCATCGCTGATCTCAAAATCAACTCGGATTGTTTTTTCATTTCCCCCTCTCTGAAATTAAAATATTGATATTCTAAACCTTGAAAATAGTTTTCACCATTGTTGAAACACTCCGAACATTTGACTCCTCGGATCGTCTTTCCACAAAGAATCGGTTTTCAATTTGTGACGCCCAAAAGTTTCCGAGTGCTGGTGCTGGATAGCCACGCCAGTATGTCTGAAAATCTGATGAATAAATTTTTTTGCCTCTGTGTCTATCTCACGATGTGATTCGTAACCATAACAGTTATTCCAGACCTAGTCAGTTTTCGTAGCCGTTCAGATATGTCAATCTGTACATTTCTTCCCATTTCTCGGTCATATGCAGTATCATGGAGTATAGCATCAATATTTTCAACGATCACCAACTGCATATTGATTGTTTCACACAAGGCATTCAGTGAATCACGAAGTTCGGAAACCATCTCAACTCTCTTACAAACAATACGATCAAGAAGATGGCTTGTTTCATCAGCGTCCGTAGAAGAAATGTGTTGAGAAAGGTGATCAGTTCTTAGAGGAACTGCACTGATCCAACCAATCTTCGCAGTTTTCTTTGTGAGAAGAAGCTTGGCTGCCAGTGAATAGCAAAGCTGCAAAGAATGAGAAGAATGTTCGCTTTGTGAATTACAACAAAACCTGTGTTTTTCCAGACCCTATATCTCCATCCAACTCATAACACTTTCCGGGAACTAATTCCAGGACTTTATTAAGTGTTGGGAGGGATGTGTGCAAAAACAGTCCATCGGCTCCAAGTCGAACCAAGAGTTCATAAGCTGTTTCATATTCAAATGTAATTTTAGAGGAATCCATTGAAGAACGTACGAGCATGAATCCCTTTGTAAAACTGCATTTCGTATTTACTAAAGATTTTCAACAGAAAATGTATTTAAATATGTGGAAAAATACAATAATCACTTCAGTTTTAAAACAAGAAGGCAGCCAAAACACAATAATTCTCTCAACAATTTATTAGCGCATAGGCATTATTCCGTTATTCTGGTATGTACAAGTCAGACTTGAGATAGCTTCGGAAAGGGGATCGTAAGCAAATGAGAGGAGTATAACGAGTAAAAGTTGTCGATGGAAATATTACAGGGAAGGAAGATCACTCTCCTTCAACGGGAATCGACAGAACAAACAAAACTATTGTCGGAATAATGAAACTGTCACCTAGGTGTTGACAGACATAGGTAAGTACAGAAATCGTAATTTTTCCAGATTGCAAATACCAAGTGCCAGTTTTAGTCTTCCGATAATGTTTAGAAGAAGTGGCTATTAGACAGGTGTGATGGAAAACAGAGCGAAAAGAATGACGATAGGAATGAGGTGGAAGGTAAAGTAAATTCTACGGTAATTATCATGGATTAGAATTCTGTGCAAAAAAAGATGAGGAGATAATCAGATTATTGAGCGGTTTGCTGTTGCTGTTGGTTTGGCAAGATTGGAACAATCAAATGCTCTTGCTGCATAAGATTGTACTTCGACACGTAGGTTGTGAATCGCTTGCAAAGATGAGTCTCATTCTCGAATTCGTCGAACAGCTTCCGGTGGTGGAAGAACGCGTGAGAGAAAATGCGATAAACGCGACGAGCAACTGATCCCAGCTTTGAAATTGAAATTTCCTTGATGTTGACACGACTTGGGAAGTACTTATTAGAGTTGAGCAATGTGGCAGCTCCATCGAGTGTGTGTCTTGTGTAATCGATTGCTGGGCACTGAAAAGTTTTGTATTAGCGATATTGAGAAATGAAAATCCGTACCTCGTTCGGATTTTTGTGCGCAGCACAGAGAAAGATCCATTGTTCAGTTGCAGTCATTTGCTGGCAAGTTTCAGGAACGCATTCTCTCTGTAAATAAGTTATGAATGGAACAGTTAATTTGTAACCTGATACCTGCAACAAAAGAGCCAATCCGTTAAGTCGATACAAAATTGACGGAGATGTTCGTATTTCCAGACCCCTTCATCTTGATCTGAACAGAAATGCATGAGTGTCGCGAAATGTATTTCAAAGCATTTCGCGACATAACTGTAAATGCATTTCAATACATCGCGTGGCGAGATATTTTTTCTGGAAAAAGGGATGCGCCTTTCAACTTTGTGCAGGATGGGGAAAATCTTTATACATTTCGCGACACTCATGCATTGAATTTCGAGGGCGCGGAAATGCATTTCAATACACATTTTCGCTACATGAATAACCCCATTAAAAATTTTGGTCTGCGGGAAGTTTCGCGACTATAAAATTGATTAGAGTAGCAGGGGCATCTTACAAGTTTCAACACACAGTAAGATTCCGGTAGAAGAGGGGAAATACACAGGAAGTTAGAAAAATATGCTGAAAATTCAAAGAAAAACAAACCCAAAGGCGGAGTCAATATGGCTTCAACGTCAGATGGATTTGCTTTGATGGTTTGTTGGATGTATTGCTGAATGTTGAGAGCACTGTCCATTTCTTCAAACGCCAATGGAGGCCAGCAGTTCCAATCCTACAAGTAAAAAAATTCTGATTGTTTTGTAAGCTGGAAAAGATCTTACCGCTCTTTTAGTTCCTGGACCATTTCGCCGCACGACCCGGTTTTCGGCGACAGCCGTCATGATTGTGACTGTAAAAAGTATTTGATTTATTTAGCTGTTGTGACAGAAAACAAGAAGAACACGTTATTTTTTAGTTGGAAACCGAAAAAAATCTAGCTCAACGCAATGCTTTGTTCCGCGCGAAACTTGCGCCAACGTGCGATTATGGGTCAACACGCACATGACGCGCTTGCTTATTTCAACCAGAAACGCAGTTTAGTGACTCTAGTCTGGAGCTCCATGGAGTGTCATTTACCATAAAAATTATAGTGGCACTCGCGACTCCGGAAAGTGTCGGCTGCTTATCATTACCTACGAACAACGTACAATATAATTACCAAGGCAAATGACTGCGTTTCTCTGCTTTAAAATAGAGAATTATCGAGAATCTTGAAGAAAACATGAGAGTCGCTTTCGATTTCAGTGACACACAATGATCCTACTTGTTTCCTGCATGAATACAAAACCTGTTTCTGAAAAACAATCCTAGTACTGAACATATCTTCTTTTTAGAATATTTCGATTCAAATTACCCCTTCGCAGGTATTGTTATCATATCCTGAACTGTACACCCTACAAAATGATATACAACGATGTTCGATCTTATTGTCGAATTAAAAAAAGTGGGACCTGGAAAATTTCGCGGGCGGCTTCAAAGTCAATTTTCTAGGCCTTGCCTCAAAATCACTACGGTAGTAAACGAAACTTATTTCTGTGAATCCAGTGGGATTTTCTGGACAAAATTTAGATTTCTTGGTATGAAAATGATCGCTAGCATCTCCAGAATCTGTTTTTCATCGAAAAACCGAACTTAATTGCGAAAGTAGCTCGAACGAGGCGAAAATCTGAAATATTACGTTTTTGCCGCACTTTTTCGTTGATCAAAAAAGCTACGATTTTCAAATTTTCAGGTCCCACTTTTTTTCGACAATATTTTCTTTAGGTTCTCTAGTTAGTTGTGAATATTACATATAGTTTCCAACTCTGAGAACCTGATTCCAGCTAAGAACCATCAAACAAAAGCTATCAATATTTTCTTCAAGGGATACGGGAAACGGGAGATGGGATCTGGGATCCCGCACATTTCTAGCCCGTAGTTAAGCTGAAAATAATTAGTCTGATGATCCATTTCAAGTTGCTAAATATCAAAATTGTGTTCTCCTGTGTCTCATCATTTATCTTCGTCTCAACTACATCTTCAATGAATTTTTCAGTAGACAAGTGAAGATGTACTTTTTTTCCAACATTGGAAAGTGCAAGAATAACATTTCACTGAAACTACCATTTCAGATTAACAACAAGAATTCTAAATTCCCAATCCCATTCCCAAAATTTTCGTGTAAACCGGAAATATGTTTGTTTATGTACCATCCCCAGTTGTCTCATAATTGCCGTACCTTCATCCCTTTGTGCTCATTCTTCACCCCATCACCTGCTTGTTTTCGGTCGGATGCTCCACGCTTTCAGAAGGCACCCGTCAATAGGCTCCAAAGACCCGAAAATGCGCGAGCTACAAACACCTGTCATCTTCGATAAACCAATTTTCCCCCGACAACATAAATACCGTTTTCTGCATCGGAAGGTTTGGAAAAGAAAAGCAAAATAATTAAGAAGAAGAAGGGGAGAAGGAGATTATGAGTGAAAACGATTACTCGGGAGGATGATGTTAATTGCAAGCATATTATCCCTTCTAATAACATTGTAAGCTCAATAGAATCGGATGGTTTTGAGGAAAAAAAATTGAATGAAAAAGGTCTGACTTTGAGACAAAACATGTGGAATCACCATTTTCAAAAAATTACGATGTTCACACTTTCGGACTATCGTATTTCCTCTAATGGAAGCCCATCCCAATTGTCAACTTTAAGCTCAATTATCTCGATTCCTGTTAAAGATATCAAAAACTTGTCAACTGATAAAAATTTGGGAATAATATGATAAACAATTTTTCAGTTGACAAATTCTCATATCTTTCACAGGAATCAAGATAATTGATCTCAAAGTGGACGGTTTCGGTGAGCTTCTATTAGAGGTAATACGGTATCTAGTTTCGAGTGCCATTACAACTTTTTTTCATAGAATCACTTAGATGTGTTTTTGGAAGCTTTCTAATTTTCAAGACTTTTATAATGATCTTTATTCTAAACAGTTTTTATTTTGGAAGATTCTTGAATTTTGATCTGTAAGAATAAAAAATTATCTAAAAATCGCATTTCCTCGAAAACCCCCATATTTACCGTATCTCTCTCCGTTAGCCTCAATAAGTCTAGAGTATCAATTACTATCTTGATCTCTCTCCTTCAACAATAGGACCAATTATCTTTTCCCCTCCCGAATAGGGATCGGCACACACATGTAATGTTGCGTAAGCACAAAGACATCAAAAGACGGTTGTCATCATTCTCTTCATCTACAGCTCCCGACTCATGTCAATCGTCTGGCGTGTCGGCATTCCACTTTATCCGAATTGTTATCAAATTAGTTATTCAGGTCAAGTAACGACAGATGTTCGGAGAGAAGCATTATTACAAGTTGTTAATAGATCTTCCTTGTGTGTATCTTGTAAAGTCATGTACAGTATGTTACCATCTGTCAGGTGTTTGTTTGGATAGGAATTAGGTGGTGTGGGGAACTACAGTACCGAATAAAGAGATAAGGTATTTTTAATTTTTTTCAGGCAAACTCTGAAAACTCTGAAAATGAGACCCAAATCTAAAAATCAGTTCTGAAGATGTTCCGAAAGTTGTCAAATTACTGAAACGAGAGTTTAACTTTTTTTTGGGATTCGTACAAAATAGTTGGCAATTACAAAACTGGAGCTCTCTTTTTTTTGTTATACTGATATTTTTCAGACAAATCAAAGAATTGTGGATTCATTTTTCAGAACTTCAAAGTTGACCATTTTCCACTGGTCCCACAACGACAACTACAATAACCTAAAAACATTTTTATAGTCGGGATTTATTTTCTAGTTTTTTCTGTAATTTTCCCCAAGCAAGTCGGAAAATTAAACTTTTGTAGTGTGAAAAAAATTGACTGAAAACGTACGAAAATCGAGATAATAAATCCCAAAAATAAAAATATATTTAGGTTACGGTAGTTGTCGTTGTGGATCTTCTGCCACAGCCACTGACCTTTCTCTTCCACAGCTTCAAATTTTTATACTAGAATAATGCTGTAATTGGATTTTTCAGGTTGGATGAAACTTTCAGATTTTCGGAAACTTAAAGTTAGAGTTTGAGTCGAACCATTCTTTTCATGATTTGCGGGAGGTACAGTAACCCTGAATTTGAAAAAAAAACAAGTTGACAAAATTATGGAAGTGAAAAAAGGTTCTTAATCCCTCTAATCCTAAATTTCGATTAGGTTTATCCTAAAACCAATTACTCCCAGCTTCTCTTTTTGTACACCTTCCTCTTTATTGTCCTCTCTTTTTCGGGAGGTCTTTTTCCTTCTTGTTGTACCTCATTAACTGACAAATGACTACCAGAATTCGTGGTTTGTCACGAGAACACATGTTGCCTCCGCGCAAACGGTTTTAATGATGGCAACATGAAATATTATGACTCAATTGAGAATATCGCGGATATATATGTCGGAATGAAATGAGCCTAAAAGGGGAGCCGATACCGCATATGGTTGAATTCTGAGTACAATTGGTCATAAATGCGGACAAATGAACAATAGTTTATTTTCAGATAATAAAAAGTGAAATGAAACACCCCTGGTCCCAAACTTAGCTTCTCTTATTAGTGTTAACATGTTTGTTTGCAGAGATAATGTAGTAGTTACTACAGTAAGTAGTGAACATCATCTGCTCGTTATATCCGCGATAATCTTTTCCTCTACTAATCCTTGACCAAATAAAAACCAGCTGATGATACTTTCCATGGTCCCCCTCTGATACCAAATTAGCATGTAGGGCGAAGAAAAAGTTATGATTGGAGTCAGTCACGAAACGAGGAAAATGATGAGTGCAACATGTTTCTTCTCCCCATTTCTCATCTTCTAAATTAATTGTCTGCGTCCTCTCGATATTCCACACTCTTTCCATTTTGAGACCATCATCCAACTAATAACTCCAAAAGAAGAAGAAGAAGCTCGTGTCATGTCGTGTTGGATGTCAATTGGTTTGTCTCTCTGGAATACCTCAGCCGTAATGCACCCATATGGTGGTGTAGTCGTTCACTGCATTCACTCTGTTTTTCCTAAAGTATTGTAGTGCTCATCTGAAGCGTGAGAATATGTGTGTAGAAACTATGAATGCACGGATTTTCGCGGATAATAGTATAGAAGAGAGGATGCTATAGAGCAGGTGCAGCTTGAACAGTACTTGAGAAAGAACAATGAAAAAGTGAGTCGAGGAGGGTGATACTAATTGACTGGATAAAGAGTACCAAGAAGTGTGAACAAAAAGGTTAACTGGGATTCAGGCTTAAGTGGAGAATACGGGATGAATCAAATATGTTTTTTAAGCTTCAATGTTTTTAATTCGATTTTTCAGCATAGCCATCGAAAGTTGAGGTTCAAAATTCCTAAACAACTCTGAATTTGTTCTGAATAAACCCAAAATTTTGCAGGGATCTGGTGATGCGTGGTTTTTTCTTTGATTTCTTTGACTAATGTCGCGTCCGAAGTTCCCAAATCTGAGATTTCTCGGCACAGAAAGCGGTCCATACGCTCAGACTCCCAATATTTTCAATTCGCACAGTCAAAACGAGGGTGACCGTATACCCCTAGCGCGTCGGGACTCGCTAAAAATTTTGAGCGAATTTTTGAAATGACACATTTTCTAAAAAACTTCGTGAAAAAATGTGAATCCTTGTGGTTCTCGACACGCTAAAAAGGGTACGGTCGCGCTGATTTTAAAACTGGCGTAATGTTGGCACAGAAAACCCAGATTTGGTAGTTTTGAAAAAAAAAAACAGAGCACTTTCTCGGTTTAATCCTAAACGTTTTAATACAATTCTAGAGTATTTTGATCCCTAAACAATTCAAAATGCATTATTCAACACCCATATTTTTTGCAGGAATTTGAAGATGAAATATAAGATAATTTACCTTAATTTTCTCTGACATTAGACTAGAGTAAACGTTTTTGGCTAATCGAAAATCAGGAAAATCATGGAGAAGTTTATCGAAATCTTGTAATTCTTACTTTTCCTACCTCCCCAGAGCATCCAAATTTATTTCACAGAAGTCCCCTTACTTATTTCTCGTTCTTAAAATCTGACTGTGTAGGCTGGAGCCCGGATCGTAGAGTGTCTCTTCTGGTTCTTTCTTCCCACACCACCTTATTATTAATGTATGACTCTTCTGCGACGACGAAGCCCCGTGTCTTTTCTCATCCATCCTCTCTTCTTCTTCTTTTTTTTCGTTTAACCTCCTTTTCCTTCGTTTTTCTCGGTCCTTTTTCCCTTTCTTCCCTTATATGATACGGTAGAGAATAGAAGAAAAGAAAGGAAAAAAGGATTGAATAAAAGGAGAGAAGAACAAAAACTTTAAGAGAGAAGAACTGGAAAAGAAAGGAGGAGAAGAATGGAGATTGGTTACGGTAGGTGAGGGGAAAATACTGGGAAAGAGGTGAATTCTAGTTATAATCAGGAATGGAAAATTATTTTGATATTTTGATCTTGAATCATATTGTAGGAAGGGTTTATATACAAAATGAACGACTATGAAAAATTTGACCTTCCACTTAAATTTGAAAAAAAATAGTTTAGGGTAAGCACTCTAATATGACGCCACCCAAACAGTCAACTTTGAGCCTATGTATCTTATTTCCTGAAAAAGGTATCAAAAAGAGCAGAACTGAGAAAATGTTTTTCATAATATCAGTGAAAATTTGTTAGTGGACAACTTTTTGATATCTCTCACAGAAATCGAGATATTAACATTTGGAGTGGCGTTCCATTAAAGTGATTACGGTATGCAATTTTGACTGGAATGGTGGAGCAAGAATTGGGATGCATCGAAAAAATTACTTGATTTTTTTAAAACCGATAACATGAAATTTCTATTTTAAAAAAATTAGATCGATTGTTGGAAATCGTCATCTATTTCAGAATTAAACTCCAGAATATGCCTAACAATTTCATGGTTTTCAAATTCTCAGGCTGAAGTGGTCGTTTATTCAATAAGTTCCAACTATGGAAACATTGACAGAAAGTAAACATTTTTTGACAGAAAAAACAGATTAGAATAGGTCTAACGGAAGATAATTGCTATGTTCCAAAAAAGGGCTTTTCTGTCATCTGTTTCTTTTTGAGTCCATGTTTTATCTACTAGAAATAAAGTGTTGCTTGATTACTATCTGAGAGATTAATCAATATTGAGCTTTATCACTCTCCTCTGAGTTCAAAATTGATAAACAGTATTTCAGGATGTTAAATTTCCAAGCAAGAAACAAATTAAAGGCTTCATCCGGAATACGATTACAGAGTTTTCGATGTAAGATAATTCAAATTAAAAAGCCAAAAAAGTTGTTGAAAACGAGAAGAATTGTGTAAAGTGACGGCTACATATCGATTCCAGTAGCCTTTTTTCTTTTTATGCCTTCTAGAGGTCCCTTCTGTCGGCTTTAATATTTCATCACTCGGCTCCATTTTTAATTCAACTCTCTTTTTTTTTGCCTTCCCTCTCCATCCATATCCACAGAAGCCCCACCCTTCCGACTACTCGGTCGTCCTCATCGTCTCTAAATCAAGGTTTTGAAAATGGGCGTAGTCTGAATTTGGATTCGAGAGATATCTCTACCGTATACCCGAGGAGCACCCAATGAGCGCCACAGAATGGACCTTCTGGACATCGGCTGAAGGGGGTGGAGACCAAAGAGACAGGGAGGGAGACTCCATCCTTTTTTCCGTACACATCTGCCTCTTCCCCGCTTGAGAGCCCTTCTTTCTTCTGGACATGCAGAACACCGCACCCTTACCGACGACGACCACCGCTTCAAAAATGCAACCGGTAAGTGTGGCATTTCCAAAATCCAAAAGAGAAAAGAGACTGTAGAAGACAAAAGTAAGGGGGCTGGCGGCGCCAGTTGACTTTCTATACGGATTTATTCATTGAATTGTTGATTAGAGACTCGGCTCGTTTTTATCAAATATTCATTCTTTGTATGTGTGTCTACTCCCCGTTGCAGGGCCCCGCCAAGCCTTATTGAATATTAAGTTAAGTGAATTTTTAGGTAGGTCACTCTTTCTCACTCACTCACTGTGAGCTCCCCCTATCGCTTAGCTTCTCTTTTTTTCATTCTTCTCACATAAACATTACTGTACGCTCAATTCGTATCTAAGTGGTGGAAGCATGTGGAGGTAAGACCAGCTTAGATTAGTTCCCGGATGATTTGAGATTTTTCACATTACTGGATTTTGAGACAGTCAAATTATAATTTCTGTTAAGATTTCAATTTTACCAGTCAGACTAGGAATTCTGAAAAGGGCTGATGGAATAATCTAATTGAGGCCATGCTAAGAATTTCTAAAAATACTTCATGTGACCGGAATACATTGGAACCATAACTTCAAAGTTTTGATTACAAACATGTAAAAAACTGATGGCTATCCTTTACCCTAGACTAAACATACCGTAAATAATAGAATGCCATCTTTAACTTTCAAATATGAGCCAATTTATCTCGGTTCCTGTGAAAGATATGGAAAAGTTGTCAACTAACAAAATTTTACTGATATTATGAAGAACATTTTCTCAGTTGACAACTTTTTGATACCTTTCTCAGGAACCAAGACAAATAAGCTCAAAGTTGGCGGTTTGAGGAGCATTCTATTAGGGTGTTTAGGGTAGTATATTAACGATCGAATTGAAATTTAACATATCCGTCTTGGTTTGAAAAAAACTATCATTAAAAAATTTCTATACAGTTTTTTTTCTTATCACCGGAAATTACTGATAGTATTGCTCATTCCCAGATCTCTCGAATCAGATCTTAAAAATAGAAATCTTGCGACCAATTTTTGCAATTCACTAACTAATATAATCTCATTTGGAATGAGTGGGAATTAAAGGCAAATTTCAAATGAACCCTGTTTAATAATTAACTTCGAGCTCCATTAATTTTTCAACGTCTTCCTTTTTTTGACTGAAAGGCATCTAGAATATCCCATTCTTCAATGTGATATCGCTTGTTTCTTTCTTCCGTTCGAAACATAAAATATTCATTTTTAGTAGTTGTCGTCATGTGGGATTTCTAGATCAAGGCTTTAGATTAGAATGTTTCAATTTCCAAAAGGAGGAGAGTAGGAGGTAGAAGGAGACAGGTGAAATTTAAAAATAGAAAAAACGAATGGCATTGACGCACGAAGAGGTAACAAAATTTGCCTCCTCCCCCAATTTAAGTCAGTCTGAAATTTAAGTATTCATAACTCGTTTTCAAAACCATGAAGATTATCGAATTGCAGTTCAACAACAGTCTATTTGGATCATTCGATGACCCACTTCTCAATGCAAGAGCTGCTGCTCTCGCTGATATCGATGTCAAGAATGTTCCTCAGTTGACGAATCCATTGATGAGACCTCATGATATGTTCAGGTAATTATTATTCTCACAAATTTTACCGTCTTTTACAAACATCAAAGCTTTTTCAGCTATAGCAACTACTTCACAGGAATACCTGATACTTCTGCTGCCACCAATATCTATCAAGGTCTTCCAAGCTCTTCTGAACCTTTCGATGCTTCTGTTGTCGTTCCAACGTCTTCTGAAGATCAAATGACGCCTCTGCAACAAGTGATGGCTATGCAAACCTACGGAGCACCACCACAGTTTCAATACAATATGAGCCATATGACACAACATTTCACTACCTCCTCACTCTCTACCTCCAACAACATCACTCGATATCCGATTGCACCTCCAACTTCTGAATTGGAAACTGATCCGAGACAATTAGAAACATTTGCGGAGCATTTTAAACAGAGAAGAATAAAATTGGGAGTTACACAGGTAAGATTAACAATCAAAGTTTAAAAAAAGCAAGAAAATTTCAGGCTGACGTTGGAAAAGCGCTTGCTCATCTAAAAATGCCTGGAGTCGGATCTCTTTCCCAATCGACGATTTGCCGTTTCGAATCTCTAACTCTTTCACATAACAATATGGTTGCACTGAAACCAATCCTTCATTCCTGGTTGGAAAAAGCAGAAGAGGCAATGAAGCAAAAGGATACGATTGGAGATATCAATGGAATTCTTCCGAATACGGATAAGAAAAGAAAGAGAACAAGTATTGCAGCACCTGAGAAGCGAGAGTTGGAACAGTTTTTCAAGTAAGAGCAGCTCGGAGATTTTCAGAAATCATTTCAAATATTTCAGACAACAACCCCGTCCATCTGGAGAGAGAATCGCCTCTATTGCTGATCGTTTGGATTTGAAAAAGAATGTTGTGAGAGTATGGTTCTGCAATCAGAGACAAAAACAAAAACGGTAAGAATCAAAAATCCCAAATATATTCATTATTTGTGCTTTTTAGAGATTTCCGTTCTCAATTCCGTGCCAGAAGTGCAGCAGCCGTAATGGGTCCCCGAGTGATGCCTGTGGTAGCTGGAAATGGATCAAATAATAATCTGAAACAGGGTCAAGGACCATATAATGGTCTTCCAGGATTCTTTGATTAATTTGGCATCTTATTCGAATAATTATTTTAGTTTATGAAAAATAAGAAGACCTAATTTTGGCTTCTTTGATTATCGGGTATTTCAATGTTACTCTTTTTGATTCGAACGTTCTTTTTCTTTATCCCTCTTATTACCAGATCCTCATTTTTATATTTTATTCCTCTTGTCTCTATTTTCGTATGTTCTTTAAAATGATTCTTTTATACATCGAATGTAACGCATCAAGCAAATGAAATAAAACAAAATCCAACAGGAAATCTGTCTCCATTTTTCCCATCATCCTCTTCCTTCTCCTCCTCCGCCGACGTCTTCATTTTCAATTCTTGTCCTTCTTCTCTTCCCTTCCAATGCCAGTTAACGATGTTCAAATACAACTACCGTAATCGTTTCGTCGTTGTGGCTCACACACAAGAGAGAGTCTCTTCTTTTTTCCTTACACGCATCCATCCTCACACAGGTTGATGAATATTTCAGCACTTCGGCCTTCTGCCGTATCTCTTTTCCCTCTTCACTCTCTATACTGTTTCGTCTCGTGGGGAGGAAGGAAGACAGGATGGTGCTAAATACATCGGATATTTGAAAGCTCAGGGACATGGGGGACATAGGTTTTAGATATCTTTAGGTGATGATCGTTGATTTTTTTTTTGGAAGAAATGTAAGAAAACAAATCCAGGAGAAAATAGGGAATGACTTGAACAAGGAGAACCAGGAAAAAAGGGGGATAATATGAAATTTTCATATGTCAATTAATAATTGAAGAAGAATGAATAGAAAATATCGGAACTCCGACTTTGAGCTCTTTTTTAAAAGAGAGAAAAAGAGACGGAGAAGGCACGGGAGGTCTGTTCTAAAAAGTTTAGAATGAAGATGATAGAGAAATTACATTGTTACAATGAAGATGATAGTACTGAAACCAAATGAGAATAAACTTGGCTTGAAAGAGTTGGCCGAAAGCTCACAAACGACAGTCGAGGATCCTCAAATTATTTTTTTGTCGAATTTTAAAATGTTAATATACAATCCGCATGATAATCACGCAAAATAAAGCTACAGAGCCTACCCTAGAACTCCTTTGAAATTACTGATTGTCCGTAAAGAAACTGCTATCAAGTTCTACTTTACCTAGAAACATTTTTTAGAAAAGGTTGAATAGAGTTCTCTTCTTGCAAAATATGCGGAGGTTTTTGAGAAAATGAACACTTTTTGTAAAAATCTGTAGCGAGAAAATTCTGAACTTCAGTTTCCCGAAAAATTCAAAAATGAAACTTTGCTGAACATTAGGCGAAATAAAGCTGATCTGATGAAACTGATTTTTGTGAAATTCGCTGATAGTGAGTCCGCTAGAGTTTTGCCAAACTAGAGTCTCTACACAATACCTGGAACGTTACCTGAAAATTAATACAAAATGCGATCATGTACATTTTTCAGAATAAGAAGAAAAACAGAACATTTGAATAATTTGTTAATCTCAAAAGATTACATAACGATGAACAAAGGGAAGAGATTTTTGTGTGAAAAGAAACAACAAACAAATGAAGGAAAGTTGGACGGTTGAGCGAAAAAGAGGAGACAATGAATTCGGAAAAAAAGAGGCAATGTCGATTAATTGAGTCAATGTTTGCACATTTGTTTTACTTGTTTGATGATGATTTCAGGAAAAAAATGAGACAGGTATTTCTGGATATTTTGCCTATTTGGTAGAATCGAATAATTTAGTATTTAGTAACTGTCAAAAAAAAAGATTAACTTTGGAGATCAGATTGCATACATAAAGGCGAGGACTTCAGCTGTACATTAAGCGTTGTACACCGTGACGGTAGAATGCATACTCTAGCTACAAAAAAACTACGAAAAATCTCCTGTCCTTAAAAGTCCTTACCTTTAAAGTTCTCTGTTGTAACTTCTGGAGTTAATCAGGTTCCGGATGAAGCCTCTACTAAATCCGGCCAAGCTCCGACCAATTCCGATAAGAAAAGACAAGGTTCCAACATACTAGTATCTCAACTTTCCACTTCCGACCAAAATCTGAACATGGCTCGCCATACAACCGTTTGTGGGCAAGTTCTGACCAAAACCTGGCTAAGATGCTTTCAAAAGCCGAGTCCTGCTCCACTTCGTACAAGAAGTAACAGTCCAACAACCGAGTTAGAACACCTTGCTCCTTATGGCTTTTTTCAAGTTTGCATTCAAGAATAACTTTTTAGAATTGAAAATTCATAAAAAAATACACTATTTTGAAAGAGAAAAGGAAGCTGAAGTCAATCAACGTTCAGGTGCACTTCCTGTTTTTTGCTCATCTGACCCCACCCTCAGATTTTCTGGTTTTCTCTCGCTATTTTTCCCCCAATTCCAACGCCATGCATTATTGTATTGTTTCGTAGAAGAGCTTTTTGCCCCAGTGGCAACCTGCTTGTTAACCCGCCTAATCTGACGAAAAGCATCGACAGAAATACGGCTCCTCGCAAACACAAAAAGTGACCAAACAGGCGGCTCCTCCGAAAACAGTGAGCATTGTTTTGAATCCCCCTCTCTCTTGGACTCCTTTCTACTTCTCGTTTTTCTCCAATTTCGTCCCATCTTCTTGTTTTCCTTACCATCCGTCTCGTCCTGGACAAGGATGACCAAAGTGGTATTCTATCTGTTTCTGGTAGTATTCAAAGTGGAATCTTTGGATTTTCGTTCCAACAACTACCGCCAAATACTCAATAATGCTTTACCAACTATCGACCCACAAATGCTAAGTCAGGCTCAAGCAGCCATCAATCCATATACTGATATATTTGTGAATCCACCCAAAAACCTAGTAGACTTCCCTATGGCAAATCTTGCATCGAAATCTGGACTAGCGTCAACTGGAGCATTCTGGCAGCAACCACAAGTGCAATCTACAGTATCCCAAGTACCATGGAATCCAACATATCAACCGAATCCACCTAGTGCTCCGTCGAGTACAATCTCATTCCAAAGTTATCAAAACCCAAGTACATTTTCATCTACTATTTCAACCACTATGACCTCCACCACAACCACGATGCCACCAACCACTTCTCCGACTACCAGAATGACGACGAAGAAAAATACAGAAACACTTTGGACTACATCGAAATCACCCATGAAACTGTCGAAGAACCCGAAACCTTCAAAAGTGAATCGAAAGTGAGTCATTTTGTTTTTTTTTTAGTTTTAGTTGTGCCTATGAGTTGCCTTGATTGTACTCCTCGAAAATCTTCTTTATTATCAACTTCTCTCACAGATCATCACAGTCTTCTGCCACTTCATTTGACTCTGCCCAACTATCCGTTCTCTCCCATCGTCTTCTGAATGATGTTCTGATTATTCCATCGTCTCGTCGTCTATATATTCTTTCGATTCTCCCAATCCACCAGTCTACTGGACAACAGGTTATTGAATTTCAATCTAGCTTTCTCATCAAATTGAACTTTTAGAACTTTGAGTGTGGAGAGATTGATTTGAATGCTGTTGTCAGATTGGCTGCCTTTTTAGAAGCTCTCAAAACTGTAAGTGTTAGAAATTAATTTAAATTCAGATCCCTCTAATTTTCCAGATAAACGAGTCGAATCTTCTAAAAGAAATTGGAGCTGATATCGGAGCAATCATTGTGGATTCATGTTCGACTGATCTTCGTTCTGTTGCTGATCTCTATGAACTTTTATCAGGAACCAATATTCAAAGAAGTGACTTGATTGCAATTATTCGAGATGATTCTACTCATATGCCCAACACTGAACAGATCATGAGACAACTCAGTTTGCCAGTTATCAATACGTTTTTCACAACACATTCTTTGGTTAGTTTTCTGGAAAAAGGAGATTTTCAAGTTTAAGAAAGTAGAGGTTCTTTGAACCAAAGCTGTCGGATATGGTCCGCGGCCTTTTGGCAATGGTACATCTGGGATAGGTAGGATTCTGCGGTCTAGCCATCCTAGATGTTATTAGTTGGCTGACCTTACAGTACTGGCCAAAAAGAATGCGTCGACAGGACTGTAACTTTCTTCAAAATAGAGATAAAGTGTCAAACTTTGAAATCANATCCAAATTTCAACTTCGATTTTCAGATCAAGCGTGATATGATCTGGAAAAATCGAGCGATCCGCTACGCCATCATCACGATTTCCAGTGTTTCTGCATTTGCCGGTGTCGCCTATTCGTTTCTTTGAATACTTGATTTTTTCTAATGAAACTCTTTATTTGGCATGATGATTTGAGTGTGTGTACAATAAATATAAT